TTGCCTATGCATGGAGGCAATGTAGGAAGATTAAAATAACATTGAGTATATTCTGTAAATGAAGGAGAGAACTAAGGGAAGCCTCCAGAGTCCATTATAAATTTTAATAATACATCAAGGTAATGTAACTGAATAACCAATCTCTGAGGGAGGAAACACGACATTTGGCTAATATTACAATATGAATTATAAAAACAAAAAGAGCTTTTAGTTAATCTTGTCTTTTACTTTTATTCTTTAGGCCTTTTTTTCTATTTTCCCAGAATCCGGAACACCATGTAAACAAATAAAAGTGGGGGGGTGGGGGTGGAGTGGGGGGGACAGTTTGGCATCTCAGTAGATTAATTAATGCGCCTCTGACTTGGCATCAGTGGGCGAAAATTATGTGCATAAATAATATCACTAATTAAAAAGATGCAGATTAACATGCAAATAATGTTAATGAGGATCTGCAATTCCGGAGTGTATTCGCATAACATCAACAATTTAATGTGTTGGAAGGCTTGTGTTTGCATTACATTAATAAAATTCAAAGGCCCGCATAAAAAATTCTGCCGGAGTTGCTGCCTCTACTTGTGAGCTGTAAATTCTGTGGGCAGTAGCAGGACCCTCCATTGGCAGATGCAAAAGTTATTATCTCAAAGGCTCGCAATCGCGCTGCCGTGTGCCAGTGTGACCAGCTGTTGGGATGCGGCACCTAGTAAAGCACTAAGACAATTAACTGCTTTGGTTGGGCAGCTTCAATATTTATTTTTCCAGATTAATTTCAGCGGGCAGATTTGGAAACACGGGTGGGAAGTAAACTTCTGTGAACCCAGGTCGTGTACCTGTAAGCGGCTATTGTGGAACGTGGGAATGGGGGAACTTAGATCATGCAGTGGTAAACCTTAGATCATGTGATTGTCTATACTCTTTGAAACACTGCGTATAGGTGGAATATATTATTCTGTCAAACTGCACATGAAATTTTTTGCATCTGGTTCTGTGACCTATTGTTTCAACATTTTTCCATACCTATATCACGCTGAAAACTATTTATTACAAATGAAATGCACGGATCTGCTTATCCTGTTGCTTATAAATTAATTTGTTAAATAAAGAAAAAAAGTATATATTTTACCTTTAGTTTATGAAATAGAACTAGTTTTCATTGTTATCTCAACTATCATCATAATATCTTTGAATAAAAAAAACTTTAGTTCTTGACAATTTATATTAAATATTCCGAACTCAAGAAAATCTTTGTTCTTTAGGAAATGCACAATGACACAATTTTAACACAGAATGAAAGGGTATAACTCAATATTATTGTCATATAGATTGAAGTAAAAATGGGGATCTCTTATTTTACTGAAATTACAGAAGATCTGAAATAGTTAAATTGGGCCAAGCATTAGCAACTGTGTTGGTCCTAGTTTTTACTCATTCTTAATTATTTACATTATTCAAGGTTTGGCTTGTGGTTTTACAAAAATATGTTTGTTGCTTAATATTGTGCACGTTTGGTTTCATAATAATGCATGGCATGGCTATACATATATTTCAAATTTCACATTTGCTTGTATGCTAACTGACTGCAGCTACAAATGTAAATATTTGCAGCGTTCGATAAATTGAGAAGCAAATGAATCGATCATAGGGCAGAATGCTGCCCCCCGAGAAAGGTGGAGGGTCCTGACAGTTTGTAAATGTCAAATTAACGTTTTTTAGTTTTACATGACCTGATGGGGGAGGGGCATAATTTGGGTCCCGATGAGACTGGGAGGCTGGGTTTGGAGAAGCTGTTAAAATATTCAGACACGGTAATGCAACCGATAGCTTCTTGGGACATGCTGTTTGTATTATGCTTGGCTTTGAGTTTGCAGCAGTGTGAGATTCGGGGTGGGAGGGGGGGGGGGCGTATTGCACAATGACCTCTTCAGTTGGGCTTTGCAGCAGCTGGCCTATAACTTAGAGCAGGCCTTGCAGTACAACTGCTGTCCTCTACTGGGACTCGACAGGAGAAACATAAAAATATGACAAGGAGATAATTTATTAGGGTCATAAGTCTTAGTTCTGCCATGCAAACAAAACATCGTGATTGTGTGTTATGAAAATACATTTATGGGCAGAAATAAACAGATTGCATTCCGGTCCTGACTGCATCCAAAACCACTGAGGATCATGGGAATTTTTAAAGAGAATTCATGGTGCGAGTAGCGTAATGTCATCAGCATGTGTAAAAACAGATAGATCCCCATTGGTTTTGAAAGTTCAGACTTATTCCTTGTTGAGTGTTTTATAGGGTGACATACTCATATAATAATTATATTTTTTAAGAAGTATTAAGCTCTACATTTTTCGTAATGCTCTTTTTCACAAAGTTATACTTATTTGGTTTAAATTGTTTAATAGTGTGTTTTTAACCTATAATGTGTCCATAGTAAGCTACTTGTTACACAAATGAGCTGTATGAAGTTCCCAGGGTGTCCCCATTGGATTTTCTTTTCTTTTTATGCAGGAAAGCTTTTAGATCATCTGTGTAGCTAAACAGAACCTGCCCAACAGGTTTTTGCTAGATCAGACCTGATGTCCTTCTTGGTTTTCCGTCTGCATCCCACCTCCATTCCGCCTCTGCTCCTGAGCCCGGATATCCTAAGAAGGGGCTCAGAAGCATCACCCTGGACAGCCAGAGCTGATCCACCATCGGACTCCAAGCCAAAGACAACATACTGCTTCCAGAAGGTTCCTACACCTGCTGCCTCACCACGAAACTCTCCTCCTTTTACAAATGATCAAATGGTTTACTATAAGACATTTGTTAAAATAAATATTTATTTATTTATTTAACTGGTCATACCAGCTTTAAATGTTACGTCCACAATACACAAGTCACTACAGATTATATTCTTCGGACTATATACCCCGAAGACACTTGCCAGGATTTTTTTTAAATCAGCAGCACTGCTTGAATTTTTATTAAACCCAAAACTGATGAAAATTAAAAAAAAGCTGCTGAGTAGGCCATGCACTATAAAGTATGAAACTTAAATACAAGCAGCGAAGGTGGAAATTTCAGATCCAGAAAGTATAAATCCAGACCATGATTTTGTTTCAACCAACCAGCTGAGTACTCTGTGACATTGACTCTTCATACACAATTGGTTGGTTGAAACAAAATCCAGGTCTGGATTTTTACTTTCTGGACCTGAAATTTCCACCTCTGACAAGCAGTATAGGTTATGTATAGTATAGTTCTTATATATGCATATATAAACACATATACATTCTCTGTCTCTCTCTTGCACACACACACAGACACACGCACAAATTGTTGTGGAGATTGCATGAGTCCTGTTAAAGGACATATATGTTAGGGTTTGTAATGTATTTATATATATATATATATATATATATATATATATATATATATATATATATTTATATATATATATATATGTATGTGTGTTTATACTGTATATTTGCGTTTGTGTTCATAGATAGATAGATAGATAGATAGATAGATATTGATGTATTGATATGGCCATGAATAAAAGCAACCCTAGAATTCTCCAGGGAAAATGCAAAGCTGCATTACCCATAACTCCTTCATTCACCCCAAAACCTCTGTGACCAAGAAAAAAGCGCCGGGGTTCCCACAATGCAGCAGGGGAATCAACAAATGATACAGCAGGGATTTAAGGCTTGATCTGAGTTTTAGCAGTGCACTGTCCAAGATATCATCTTAACTGCCCAAGTCACAGAAGACCTCACAGTGCTCACTTTTTTCAGTAGTTATGTTTAACAGAAGCATGACTTCATTGGCCATGGAAGCAGCTTCCCATTACGAACGCCAAATTTACGTTAAGTTTATTTAGCTAGGTGGTTTTGAGTGATAATGAAACTGAACTGTTCCTTTGCACGGTTCAAACAAAGCAGTTACTCACTGTGCAAACATTTGTCCAGCGACCCATCTAAATGTGTAAATAGCATTGCTGTAGTGATTACTTTCCATGAAAAAGTTTAGGGAAAAAAAGATTAGTTGAGTGGGTAATTTCAGTTCACGCTATTTGTGATTCTGCAGTATTTTTGGAAAGTTATTTTGGAAGTTAGCTGCAAAGGAGAGGAAAAGGGAAATTAAACTGGTCATGAATCTTTATATGACGTGCAGTTGACATTCTGTGCGTGGTTGGCATCCCGTCCACAGTGCCCCCCCTGCCGTCTGCTTCCTGCAACAGGTTTCCTCTGACCCTAAATATCATAAGTCATAATAAGATGGATGGAAGGATGGATTCTGTGATGCGATAAACTGGAGACAAGGCAGAAACCCTTACCCCCACCGCTACTGATCAACGTGAAGGTACTCCACTACACTACTCCACTAGTACACTTCCAGCACATCTCTATCTCCAGCTAGTTTGAGTAAGTTTTCTGGGAGAGAAAAAAATCCTATGAAAATTCACTTGATCAAAAGTAGTGCAAACGCATTTTTCTTTTTTTTTTTCTATTAAACACACATCTTTTTAAATAAAAAAAATCCAAATAAATGAATAAAAACCATCTGTTCAGCTTTAACTAACACAGAATTAATAGCACTCGAAATGTCCAAATTATTTTTTAAAAATGTAGACGTAAGAAATTAACTTGCAATTATCATAAAATCCATCATTGTAATTCACATAGCGCCACAGTGTTTGGATAGGTAATGATTTTGTAATATGGCAATTTGCATAAGTAGCCCTGAGATGGGTTATCATTTTCGATCCCACACAATTACAATTCCAACTCCATACATCAGAGCTCACAGCTATGTAAAACCACAGCGCTAATTAATAAGCCATTTACAGACTGCAGCTAGTTACAGCGGTCCTGCCGCTGACCTTACAGAGGACGAGCCCGTCTCAGAAGTGCCTGTGTGTAACTACAAACATAATGATGTGCCAGGAGGGAATCATTAAAAATAATTTACACAAGCCTTCATTTACAAGATCTTTTGATAGCATGCTTCCCCGGTGTTTAGATCCGCAGCGCAGCCCCTACCATTTGGAAAGCGCCAACCGGGAGAGCGAGTGGGGATACCTAAGTGGTTAATTAAGAGCTGTTGGGGCGCCCGGAGAGTCTCCTAAAAAATCCTTCTGATGTCTGCCGTGTCAAGTGTCTCTCTCAGGCAAAGCCACATGAGGCAGCAGCCACGGCAGGCTAATTACTGAGAAACCGGGAGCAGCTGAGAGTCAGTCTCTAAATGAGGCTGCTCCTAGCTAGCGCACCCAAGGTAATTTTGCTGGGGGGAGGGGGGATCAGATCTTTTGTGCTGCCGTGGTTACTGAGCACGGAGGCGGAAACGGGGCTGCCCACCGTCTGAAGTGCCTTGAAAGGGTTAATGTGCCCTGGGGAGAAAACACATAATTTACTGACAGGGGGGAGGCAGGTTTTACGAGAGGGCAGTCGGGGAAGGATCGAGACGGGATGATAGACAGCGATAAGATCCGTTTTAATGTCGCAACTGAAATATTACCATCGCTTCATACGAAAAGTACTGATATGAATGCTCAAGCTGTCAACTGACAAAAAAAAAATCCAAACAAACGAACAGGAACTGTTTGTTTTGTTGCTGTTTTTATTCCCTGATGAGTTTAACAGTACAGCTACATAATTATTTAGATTAAACAAAAAGGGGAGATGTTTAGCTATATTGTACATGTCATAATTAAATAAGAGAAAAGGGGAAACTGGTTTTGAACAGTACTAACTTGCAGGACTTATTTGCTCACATTTTATTTTGACTAAAATTCCAAACTGCAAATCGCAAATAAATGAGGTTAATTGTCAATTATTTCAGCTCTGCCTGCACAGATAATTGCTCATTTGTGTTTTTCAGTGTTTTCGTTTCATCACGACGCCCATTCCAACAAAGTAAACAAACAAACAGACGCGTAACAAAACGAAATGGACGCAACGCCAATAAGGGAGAGCGCCACTCAAATATTTTCTTATTTAATTCTCCGAATTCCCAGCTGCCGTGTTGAAATTTCGCTCGAAGGGGAAACCCTGCCAGAGCGAAGCGCGACAATGAGCGATCCGAGCTGCGGCAGCCGCAAAATCCCATGCTGATGATGATGCATCGGACCATTGCAAGGCTCCCCCCCTCGCATCCAGCCCCGCTGCCGAGCGAGGGTAGACTAATGGTGGAAGAGAAACAATGACGGTTTTAACAGCCGGAGCTGCCTACAGCAAAGCCGCTTTAGCGAGCAGCGACCGCAGCCGCATCAGCGATGACAGAAGACTGGCAGAGAAAACAGGCCAACAATGTGGCTCAGAAGCTGACCCTCACAGGGCCTAACCAAACTGTCCGCTTTCCACGCCCTGGCTAGTGCCTACGTCCCCCGCTTGTGATGTCACGGCTCAGCCGTCCTCCCTGACTGCCGCGAGGCTAAGATTGACAGGTCACCTGTCAGGGAGCCTCTCCCAGCAGCTGCCTTTGGGTCCCTGCATATGAGATCTTCGCGGGATGGGAATGGGGCACCGGTTTTAAATTGGTGTAGTCCAGGGTGACATTTCTCACAGTGGGTCGATAACAAAATGACAGTGTACGTACAAATGTGATTCACCAGACAATCGGCTTGTGCTGCTACTTCTCCCGGCACAGTGTATATTTGACTGACATACTTTCCTGGGATTATCAGCAAACATGTTTCACTATGATGAGAAATAAAATATATACATTATGTACACATCAACTGTGAGCAATTCGTCTAATTTTTGTCCATCAATTAAAGCTGTGCTAGTAACACTGTGCTATCTTTGTAAATATGTTTATTAGTCCAGACTTACAAATAAATAGCTAAAACACCAAAGAGATGGTGAGAGAACTATGAATTAACTATGAGTACCTATATGATAAGTATGATTCAGTAAATAAACACTGACCAAGAAATAAGCTGCTCTAAAAGCAATCAAACTTTAATTTAATAAAATCCGTAAAACAACAACATTTTTTTTCTCCAAGACATAAACCACACTATAGGAAATAATAATATTTTGTGTGCGACAGGTATGATTTAGAGCATGCAATTATGTAAGTACAGCACAGATCACAGTCTTATTTATTTTTTTATGAACAAAGGATATGTGTTCTCCGAGAGTTTTTCCTCTTTACTTATCCATAATTACATAAAGGTTCATGCCAAATAAGTACTTTTCTGACAGACAAAATAACAAGTGTATCTTTTCCTGGTAACATCGCAAGTCCGTTCATGTCATGTCAGAGCATAACCATAATCTGAAAACGACAGGTGACCACCATACCTGTCAGCCACCCTGAACTATTGGTTGTTGAAATCCTGAGAGATAAATGCTTGCATTGTCTGTTGCAGCTGCTAAATAGGCGGGAATATGAGGCGATCAAACAAGGGTATCTGGACAGTGGTAACTGACTGGCAGACCCTGTAGACAGAAAGGAAATGTTTAGCAAGAACATTTCTGGAGTGTTGTGCTGGAAGAGGTACAGAGGTTTTCAAGCCGTCCACAGACTGCTAAGAAGCCACACATTTCTTCATACTCAAATCCATTAAATAAAAGGTGTCAATAACAAATATTGAAGTCCATATTCTCTTTTTAACTTTGAATTCAAGTTGGAGCACGGATTTCTTTCATATAAGAAAGAAAGCAAGATCTATAAGTGCAATTTTACAGTTTTTTCCAAACTCATTTTATTGAATGAAAATCACAGTGCTGTTACGACATAATACTTCATGGTGTTATAGTGGAAAACCATCTCACGCCTCATAATACCTCAGATTGTTTCCAGGATAAGTATGATATTAAAATGAAAATAAATGTTATACATGTTTTTACCCATAAATCTAAATAAACACTCTCATAAGATGATGGCATTAACTGAGATTTTCAATAACTTCAGTAATGGACTGCTTATAAAAATAGAAATAGTATGAATTGGAGTTTAACTCAGTGTTGTGTATGTTATTTATTTTGATATGTGCATACTGCAGATTACATTAATGAGATGAAAATAAGGTGTACAATTGTAATGCCACATTTCTATGCTTGTAACGCTTCACATACCCAGATGAATGAGCGTGCAGTATCAATAGCAACCCAGAAAGTGTTTCCATAAAGCTATAGTAAAACTTGTTTATCTAGCTTTGGAGCACTGTATTCATCTGGGGATATACTGGAAATATCCATAACGATGTAAGAACAGTTGGGCCTGTAATTAAGTCCTTCTTCAGATAGACCCGACATAATTCATTAACGCAAAACACTTACACCAAAAGCAGAGGAAGAGTAGCATTCATTAAAAAAAGAAAGTTTAATGAATATTAAATATGAAAGTTTAAATGTAATAAACAGTCTGAACTTTTCAGCAACTGGGTGTATTTTTGAGCTGGTCATAATTATAACTCATCATTAACCAGCAGATCTGAAATCATTAGCAGATCTGAAATCTAATTTCTAAAATCTAAATTTAATTACACCATTATTAGAAGTAATTAAAAACAATAGTTTAAATATCTGTTTCATTTCCCCATTATCTAGTGTGGTCTGAGACAAATTCTGTTTGCCATTTGTGCTTTTTAATTAATCCCTCGGAGGGGTTTGTCTGCACAGAAATATTGTTGTTTCATGCACATTCGCTACATTCGCTGGAAATGTTTGAGACAAGGAATCTGGCTGGGCTGTATGTGCTTAATGCATACATATAAAACAACAGATGAGTCCAGAATTATTTTGTAACATCAATAGACTGAAATATTCATTTTTTAATTGCAATTTTAGCCTTAAACAAATTCACCTTTACTGTGAAACATCAGGGGAAATGGTAATACCTATTTTTTCAGTTTTTACTCGCACAGAAGCGGGAAATCAATAGAAACTGTTTGCTACATTGTCACATGGTAATATTTTGTTAATGAGAGCCAAAACTTATTTGCATAATCATGTGACTGCGTTGTGTTGCCTAAACCATAACAGTGTAATAGCTTTCTGCAATACAACTGGCCACTACTCCTACCTTCAAAGACGAGGATCAAAACAGACCATCCTTGCCGAGCAAATTTCAGCTGGTATCTGTGGAAATAAAAGTCACAGGAAATATGATATAGTTTTATAAATAAGCAGGCCTAGGGCAGTGTGGGTTGAGCGATACCCCCCTCGTCACATGTGCTCCAAGCAGCCTCAGTTGCGAAAGCAGGATGCTAACTGATGACTTTTAAAAACATTATCTTAGAAGAACAGCAGAATATACTGGAAATGCAACCTGTAGTTCATCTGTAAATAATCCTGTGTGTTAGCAAGCTTGATCCCCAACATAAATGAGCTCTTCTCTGCTGTACTGGTTTAGCCGATCCAAACACATTGGCTATTTACGCTAAAAACCGAGAGCGGGTAGCTCATTATTTAATGCACTTTGGGCTCGTACCGAGTTATGGAATACAGAGCGCAGGTCTAATTCCTCTGTGGGATGCTGTGCAAAATCAATTCAAGGAGGCTGATAATAAATGGCATTTTTATGCTGCACTTATGTGAAGCTATCCAATGGGAATGACCTAGCTAGCTTTAAAAAGCAAACACTTGCATAAATGACACTCACCTTTTCAGCACGTGACACTTATATGAAATTCTTTCTTGGATTCTGAAGTTTTGAATTGAATTGACTTTGTAAATATTCTTTTAATAGTTATATTATTTTATGTAATGAATGATTGCTAATAGACACTTGATTACAAAATATCTGTCATTATGAGATTAGTGTTTATATAGTGAAATCAGAAATATATCGGGAATATGACATATATGTATATGCATTTGCACTATGTCGTTATAGCGCCAATGAAGTTGATTGCTCAGATTTACATATCGCATCAGATATGGAGTATAATAAGTTTGGTTTCTGAAATAACATGGTGAAAGAGGCGATTCTTCAGTCAGAGGTCGGAAAGGTGAATTTCTGTCTTACGTTTTGGACCATTTTCAATTCATTTTGATGTCAGGCCAAAATTAAAGTGCCTACAAATTTTAAAACCAGGTTCTCTCCACCCTTGAGCGGCTGCCAGTTGGCTGCAAATGGCAATATATCCAATACAAAAGTACTGAAAAGTTTATCTTTTAAAGCTGGATCTATTAAAGGAAATGAACCACAACGTAATTTTAACTGGGACTCCACATAGTTTTAACTTGGACGGTGGCCTCTAATCTAAACGTTAGGCGATAGCCATTTGTAGATGGCGAAGTCGCAGTTTAGGAAAAAGTAAAAATTATTTTCATTTTCGCCTGACTGTCGTTTACTATACATTTCTGTTTTTCTGAGTGTGGAGAAAAAGGAAACGTTTGTGTAAATGAGTATCATTTGTTAAAAACAAAAACTTTTAGGCATATAAAGAAAATGCATGTGGGGTTGTTTGCGGTGATCAGAGTGGCGAACAGACGAATTCTATTTGTGGTGTGTAGTGTGTGCCTTAGTCATTTCTTGACAAAACAGTCATCTTATTTACACGCTTCACAATAACCCACCGCAACTGTCGAAAAGAGGAATAAGGAGGGAAAATAATTAGCATATTAATCTTTTTTATGCCGCCATCTTTCAGGTCCAGGAGACTACGGTGTAATTTAAATCTAAACGCTTTCCTGGCATTAGAATTCATTTTAGATGGGTCAATTGTTCTATAATAAAAGGATAGAAGGTGTACTTCATGCAGGAGATTTATGTCTACCATTTGTTCATATTCATGTGCTAGTGAATACCCTCAATTCAAATGGTGATGGTGGCTCATATCAGTCGGGCTGCAGCCCCCACAGATCAGTAACCAGCAGCAATGAATTTCATTTGCAGGACAAAAAAAAAAAAGAAAAAAAAAATACAGAGAAATTAACTCCAACAGTTTATTGATTTTTTGCTCAACAGAAGCCTGTGTAACAGCTCTATTGCCCTCATAATGATTAGTGACAAAAGTTTAATTAAGCAATTATGAAGCCAATAATGGAGTTGTCTGGTTTGCTTAGCTTTAGACTGTTTAAGACTTATCTCTCTCCCGCACATCACAGCAGCTGGAATGTGCTTGAGGAGATTAATGTGGAGGGAACACAGATGCCCACGTTAATACCGCTTCATGATGCCGTTTGAATGAAGTTGAGAACACAAGCTTGCCTTTATCAAATTACAAGTCTGCTTTTCATGAATATGTAGTAAAAAACACACACGCACGCACACACACAGTAATGGCTTCAAGGTGTAATTATAAAGATACACAACAAAAACGACACGCAGTCCTTTTTTAGTAATCCCTGCTATGCAATACGCATGATTATGTAGCGCTGAATAAAGCCTTACAGTGTTCTAAGCTGCTTTAGCATTGTGTCGCTAACCAAACAATCGCTGGCCATTTCTGAATGTTACTTAATGTTTCATTAAATTTTTCCCTCTTTATTCTCCACCCCCCCCCCCCATTTTACAAATGATTAGATTTTCATCCTTCTGCATGCTTACAGATACTCTTAAAGTGCTGATGTTCAGCTTTGCACCAAAGTGCTCTTAGAAGCATAAAATAATGACATATATAATGTGCAAAATGTGCACACAAAAGTGATTCAAAAGTTCCCAAAGAGGAAGAAATTATCATTTCAGAGCAACATATTAATTATAAATATTTTTGACAATTCTCCCAAGATTGTTAACAGCAGTGACAATTTTATTGGGCAAGTTTGGATCAACTGTACATTA